TACTTCAGGTCTTCATAATAGCTGCTAATTTATCTTTTGGTCTCTCAATATTCTGTTCTCTTTCCTGGATATCTTCATGTTTGTGGGTCTTTCCTTTACACTTTCTCTTATGTTACTGTGCCCATCAGTTAGCTTTGTGTTGAAGTCATTTCAGCTGAAGTTCTGAGCTCATCAGGTCCACCTTTTTATGTGTTACTTCTCTTTTGAAGCTACTTTTCCCACATTTGTTTCAAGTATGTTTGTAATTACTGTATAATAGTATTTTATGGTGGGTGTTTCAAAATGTTTGTTGCATAATTTCAGGGTTTATATCACCCTAATAGTAACTTTTTTTTTCTCACTTGTGGAGAAGCATTTTTGTGATTAATACCATGTCTATGTCCTATCTAAACCTTCAATTTGAGAAGGGCCTGACATAGCTGGTGGGGACAAGGCAGCTGCTCTTCAAGTCCACATTTCCTGCTAGACCTAGACTCATGATGAGGCACTTTACTGCTAAGTGGGGTCATTTTGCCCTGCTTCACTCCCCAGCATCTTCATCATGGGGAGGTCAGCATTGTTTTTCTCTCTAGGCAGTCCATATTGCTCTCTTGACCTTGTGGGAGCATGGCCTTAGCAGCTGGAAGGCTGTGGAGCAAGAAGCTGCTCGATTCTTGGAGTTCTTCTCTCTAATAGCTCATCTGAGAAGCCAAAGAACTCTTTGCATCCAAGGAGGGGTGGAGTTCTCCGTGCTTCTCCGTGACTCCCCAGGAAGATAATTCTCACAGCCTGGCTCTCTCTGTGGCCTATGTCAAGAGGTAGAATGAAGATTTTATCAATAAATCTGCCCTGTAGTATTTGCCTGTATCTCAGCAGTTACTAGTTACAAGAATCCTGCCTACCTATACTTTTCCTTTACTGTTTCTTTGGCTAGAGCATGCTTTTCTTGGGGCCCCTTTCTTTGGGGAATCTACTGTCCATTTAGTTTCCCATGAGTCAGATTTCTAGGGGAATACATGGAGGATGGGGGAGGGCAACTCACTGCCATGCCATTTTTTTTCAAGGTTCTCAGCTGTCCTGCTGTTCGGCTTCTTTTCACCATTAGAGTCCTTCTTTATTTGTCCTTTATATAAAGCCCACAATTCTTGGTTGTGCTGGCATAGAGGGAGGGGATAAGAATGTACCTTCTTCATCTTGCTTCAGAACCAAAAGTCTGTTCTATAGTTTTTGAGAATACCATAAAATACATTCTATTTTCCAGTAGACCCCATGTGTTGTGTAGTTAAGTTTTCCCCTGATAAAAACATTTCATGTTCCTGTCTATACTGATGAATTTTGTTGTCAACTTGACACAAACTAGAGACACCTGGGAAAGGAAAGGAGCACTTTAATTGAAGAACTGTCTCCATTAGATTGGCCTGTGGGCATGTAAGGAGGTTGGGGGCGGGGCTCTTAATTGCTATCATAAGAGGACCTGGTTCATTGTGGATGGTACCTTTCCCAAACCAGTGGTTCTAAACTGTATTTTAAAAGACAGTTGAGCAAGCCAGAGGCAAACAAACCAATAAGAAATTTTTCTTTATCGTGTTTGTTTCAGTCATCTGCCTTGAGTTTCTGATGCATGTCTCCATGATGGATTATAACCTGTGAGATAAAATAAACTTTTTACTCAAGTTATTAAGGACATGGTGTTTATCACAACATAGAACAAATAAGAATGAAAAGAAAACAAGAAGAGAAGCTGAGTGGAGTATTGTGCTGACAGATCGGACTGCTGTTTGGGGGAAGGTGGTGAAAACATTTGGGACACTGGGCTGGAAAATTCCCTGAGCATTAACAGCTCAGTGGGCTGTTCTGTGGGAGCTTAGAATATAAGGGTGCTGAGAGCAATCAAGACAACAGAGACATGGTTTTTCAAATTTTACAAGAAGCAGACACTGTCAGGTCTGTTTGTGTGCCATAAATTTGAATTAAGAGCCTGTGAAAGGGGCTAGAGCGATGATTCGGTAGTTAGGAGCCCTTACTGTTCTTTGTTTTAGGAGCCCTTATTGTTTTACAGCACCCACCTGACAGCCTGCAGCCACCTGTAACTCTAATTCCAGAGGCTCTTATGTGCTCATCTGGCCCCATTTGCACTACATGGGTGTGATGCACAGTATACATATGGTCAGCACTCCCAAACACTTAAAACCCTTCAAAGTAAGTAATGGAATTTGGAAGTGAAGTGTTCCTGCTTCATTAGGGCACATTGGGGCTGAAAAATCAGCTAGGCTTCAAAATAGATCAGCATCGTTGAGGTAAAGTCTAGGAACTATGGCCTCAGTTGTGATCCAAAGTGTCCAAGGCCATGGATCGAACTGGCCACTCTTAATGTATAAGAGGCGCCCAACCGTACTGGTTTTGAAGGCATAGAGGGGTCGTAGAGGGCAGCTAAATTGAAGTCCCCAAAGTGAGGACAGGAGAGGCCATAAGTGAACGTGCAGCTCAGTTGCAATGAAGTACTGGGGGGCTGGAGATCCGAGGACCATGGAAGAACTTAACCAAGGACAGCAGCCGATGCTGAACATAGTTTGGCCCTTTGGATCCCTGAAAAAAAAAAATGTGTTCAGATGTCAGACACTGAGCTGTAGGATTTGGATTAACACTACTGAGTTTAGCTTTTGCTTAAATTATTGTTTTGATATCCAGGTTCTTTTGGAGTAAGAATGTATGTAACAGTTTTTATTTTTACGGAATCCACTGTTAAGGGGCTTGGATTTTTAAAGAGATCTTGAACTTTTAAATTATTGACATTTTTAAAGACAGTGGGACTGTTCAAAGCTGGACTATGTTTTATATTGTGATATTAATGTTAGCCTGAGGTCTTAGAGACAAATAAGAAAGGAAAGGTCTAACAGTGATGTGTTTGTTTGTCAAGCTGACAAAGATGTGGATTTTACTAGTCAATTTGACACAGACTAGAGACACCTGTGGAAAAGGAACCTCAATTAAGGACTTGACTTTATTAGACTGTCTTGTAAGCTGTGGGGAGTTTTCTTGATTCCTAAATAAAGTAGAAGGACACAGACCTCTGTAGGAGTAAAGCACCCAGGGAAATAGGCCTGGGCTGTAGAGAAAAGGTAGCTGGAAAGGTCAGGGGAACAAGAGAGTCAACGGTATGCCTCCGTTTTGGTTTCTGCTTAACTCTCCTCACTTGAATTCCTGCTTTATCTTCCCTTGATGATGAACTATAACCCGCACAATGAAATAAACCCCTTTCTTCCCAAGGTTTTTTTTTTTTTTTTTTTTTTTTGGGGGGGGGGGGAATCATGGTATTTATTACAGAAACAGAAAGAAAATTAAAACACCATCCAGGCTTTCTCTGGCTTTGTGCACTCTTTAACCCTGTCCCATGGGTCTGGGCCAGACGTCTGCATGGAGCAGCAGGCATAGGCTAGCCCTGGTGAGGGCTTACCATGTGATCACACTCTGCTCTAAAGGATTTAGAGGCATGAACTCACGACTTCCTCATAATAACCTTCACAAGTAGTTGCATACCTCCTCACACATCTCATTCATACCTCACAAATGCAGATGGAAGCCACACTGTTACCTTCTTCAGAAAGAGATGGCCCTATCTCCCAGTCCTAGCTTTCAATCTTCACTTGCTTTAAGTGAGGGAGACTTTATGAGAGAATAGAAATTTGACTTTCTTTGGAAGTCTAAACAATGATAATTGCAACTTGATACAGCTGAAGGAAAAGTCTAGAGTTTTTTGGAGGGAGAACAATGATAGAAACCTAACCTAGATTCTCACACATGCTAGACCACTGCTATACCAGAGATTCCAATAGTAGCATTGTATAAAATAATGTGAAGAATCGATGAAGTCTTGAGTGAATGTATATTGTTGAAATGAGCACAGCCAGTGCTCACAGAAATGACAAGGTTTTTCACATGCCAGGCCCAGGGAAAATGGCAAAACCTTCCCTAAATTATGTGTGGATGTTGACAGTATGTGCAGAAAATATAGATCAAAACTTCTTCCTCTGGGATATTTACAGCCTGAGACTGTTCCCCTATAGAGACCTTCGACTGCAATTAGCTAAACCTCCCTACTTGTTTATCTGTGTACTCTAACCCTCCTGCCTCCTCCTTCAGCTGTATACAAAACCCTGCCTCACTGATTTAGGCAAATGAAATAAACAAACCGAGTTTCAAGAGAACTGTTGGTATGTTTCTGTCAGAGCACACAGCCCACTGCAACTGTGTCTCTGTGCGTCTGTTCTTTCTTCATTCCCCGTTGCCTCCATTGCCTCCATTGCCTCCATTCCCCATAGCCCCTAGGCTGTGCAGATAATAGCAAGTGGCACCCCAGAGGGACATCTAACTACAAGGACCTCCCATTAGTCAGATGAGGAAACACTCCCATGAGAAGCGTGAAAAGAAGGTAAAGGGGGAGAGTGCAAGTGCAACTCTGTGCATTATGTGTAAAACATGGGACACACAGAATCTAGAGATGCACAGTTATGGGTTAGAACTTTGAAGATTTTAAGAAACTGCAGAAAAAGGATAACAAAAATTACAGCTCCATCAATTCTTAGACTACACTCAGGAGACTTCTACCAAGATTTGCTGAAAGCACTTCCTTGCTTAGTTGCATGCTATAAACCCATATACACATTCTGGTGCACAGAGAAAACCTGCCTTCTTCAGTCACATGTGTAAAACAAAAATACTAAGTTTCTGAGCCACTGCTGGTAGAGCAGGTCAATGGCTCACAAAACCACACCTTTCCTGTATGTCTGGCCTTTCTTCATTTTCTCACCACTCCAATCAGGTTTCCAGGACCTAGCCACATGAGTTATGTCAAGATGTTTACAACCTGAATGAAAGATCAATCTCTTCTTGCATACAGATTCTGGGGTCTCTTTTTTTTTTTTTGTTTTGTTTGTTTGTTTTGCAATAGCATAACATCTAAAGAGTCTGTATCTCTCAGTTCTCTCTAGAGACCAGAAGCCATAACTGTCTCTGTTTTTCAGGTTGGGATTCCCTATGATGCTCATGTCCTGCACCATTGGGATGTGCTATCTTCTGATCACTCATGTTGTGGTGGGATGGAATTAACAGCTAGCCATCACCTGAAGACCAAGGGAAACCTGATCATTACCAATATCAGCCTGAGGAAGAATTTCCCACCGCACATCTGGAGAAGAGAAGGAGTTCACCAAGACATACATGGGAGCAAAGATCTGTCAATAACAGTATTGGTCTGGTGGATGATGGGAAACCACAGTGTCTTCTCCCTGCAAACAAAACAAGAGAAATATGAGTTAACTTACAAAGACTCTTAACAGAAAATCATATATTTTAAAAACATTTCTTGCATTTCTGTATAAGAAATGACACAAGCATACCCAAATAGCTGTCTTTTAATTGTCAATTATCCTAAGAATATGCACAGTTTTTCTTATTGTAGCTACTCCACATGTTGAAATAGTCAGCATTCAGTTTGTATACCCCTTGAATATGTCTCTTTCTGGGAAGAGAAATATCACTGTTAAGAAAACATTTTGTGTATTTAAAAAATAAAATTGTCCTTGACAGAAGGTTTTGTAATTTATTTGCCACAGGAATTTAGATAACATCAAACTGTATTTTACCCATTTTCCCTCTCTGGAGTTTAAAGACTAGTGTTTAGAAGTCTAGCCGTTTGATTTGTAGAAGACGGTAAGTGTCTTTTAAATACCGTTTTTATATTAACAACCTAAAAATAATTTTCCATTTTGAAAATGACACGTGATTTCCATCAATTACATTGACGTTTGATCAATATTCTCATCTCTGTAATCCCTGTGAGGCTGCAGCTGTTCCAGCGACATTTTTAGGTGTGGTTCTTTTATGCACCACCCCATGCCAGACAGAAAGAGAGTAAAGAGGTAGAGGGAGCCTGTGCCTCAGCTGATGCCTGCTGTTTGCTTTGTCAGTGTCCTGGCTGTGCTCAGAGGCATTCCTTGGTTCTCAGCTGTGTGTCTAACCATGAGGTGTGCAGCTGTCCACCAAGGACTTTAAACAGCAGAGCCTCTTACTGAAGAAGGCTTAAGTTGCTTAGAGTACTAAGGAGCTAATCTTAGTGATCTAAGGAGCAATGTAGGAGAACTTTCTAGTTCTATTTTCTGTTGCTGAAACTCTCAGGGTAGATGTGGTTTACCTACAAATCAGTGCGTGTATTCATGAGGTGGCAACCTGCTTCCTTCCTGAAATACTGCCACTGTTTACGGCAGCAGTTCTCAACCTGGGAGCTGTGAACTCTTTGGTGGTGGTGGTGGGAGTTGAGCCATCCTTTCACAGGGGTCACCTAAGACCGTCAGAAAACACAGATATTTACATTATGATTATTACATCATGATTCATAACAGTAGCAAAATTGAGGTAGCAAGAAAATAATCTTATGGTTGGAGGTCACCACAACATGAGGAACTGCATTAAAGGGCCAAAGCATTACCAAGTATGAGAACCGTTGGTTAATGGGAATATCTCTCCTCTTTGCATATGAGTCCTCTGGAGTCATGAGTTTTCTTCAAATGTCTTGAAAGCAATGGGTGCATGCATCACAGTTCTGTTTTAAAATCTGATCTTAGCATTCCATATGTTTGCATTTTTGCACCTGATCTTAGGTACCTGACTAACCCATAAGGAAAAGTACCTTGTGGTTGGTCCATCCCTATTTCCTGTTGGCTTCATGGAAGTCTTAGCTCTCCTGTCCTTTCACTGAAAGCATTGTCTTTGTCCACCCTACAAATCTGCATGCCAGCATGTGGCCTTGGTGACTTTGCTTCCTGTTCATTTCTACTCTCCTCTGTCAGTGCCTTTTCCCCATCCATGTTCCAGCTATACTCTCATCAGCTCCTCAGTTTGTCCATCTTGTTCTAGGCCTTGTGACTGACTTTTCTCTTTCCCTCTTCAGATCTCTTCAGATCTCTCCAACATTAAATGTTGATTTCTTTGTCTCCCATAACCTTTTCTCTAGTTCACTTCTAACTTACAACCCTAACTTGATCATTAGTAGCTGCACTATGGCTTCGTTATTTTAAGCATCTCTCTGATATCTCGCATACTTCTAACTATTTGGTCCAGGTTATTTTCTGCTATGACTTGTTTATGATGTGAGAGTGTTTTTCCTCAGGGTTCATGTGTTAGAAGCTTGGCCCTCATTGTGGTGACTGTAGTAGATGGTAGTACCTTTAAGAAGCAGAGTCTAGAGATGAGGAAGATGCTTTCAGAAAGGATTTACATAGTTTTCATGGGATGCCTTTTAGTTCCCTTAAAATTAGACTGTTATAAAAGAGAAAGGCTGGCCCCTCACAGCTCGTGAGCTTCCTGTATCACCACATGATATTTCTTTTCTTCTTTCATCGGTTCCTAACAAGATACTATCCATTTTATCAGGCTGTTCAGAGGAGACACGGTCCTCCCTATAAGGGAGGAAAGTGGGGTCATTGCCAACATCTGGAATCACAGGACACTGCATGGTCAGGCTGGATAGTTCTCACCTGAGCCAAGATTTCCCTGGCCTCACCCACCTTGGTGTCTCACTATTCTCACCGAGAGCAGGGAACCGAGGCTTGCTCCTGCACCTTTGCTACACCAGTACTTCCCAAAGCACATCCGTGCTCAGGATCTGAGTGGATGATGGCATCCTCTCCAAACAGTGCCTAGATTAATAACTGGATAAGGAAAGTTCTGAGTTCTCTTGTGGGGTGCTGAGAGGTTTGTACGTAACCAAAGTTTTAAAATATTTCTCCATGTGTCAAGAATTAACCACTGATTCTTATTCTTCATGTTAGGCTCTTTCTGTGAATACTCAGATCAGCACATTGAATATCTAATTCCAGCTGCATGTAGCCATGTATGCATTTTGCCTATTCAAAGTCTATATTTCCTCCTCTGTGGCATAGAATCATTTGATTTCAACACCCGACCACTCTTCAAACAGAGTGGTGAGATCATGTAGAGGTTCAGTATTCATTATAATTTGTGCAAAGCAGATTTACTTCAGGATTTTTGGTGTTATGCAAGAGACCTGGAGAAAATGAGAGGGCCAGGGGACAAGTTTTCAGCAAGTTTGTATGTGTTATTAAACAAAGGCTCAGGAGCAGTCACCAGATGGCTGGGGAGGGACTATCAGCGACGGGGACTCAGCTCACCTAGGAGGTTCATGTTCCTCTGGTTCAGTGTCATTCTGTAACTATACTTACTTCTTTCATCTCTAGTGTCATCCTGCTTTACTGCCAGTCTTACTTCATGAGAACAATGTGGAAACCCTCAGATTAAAAATCTTTTCATGGCTGACATTTTACATCTGCCTGTACCAGGGCCGGAATGCTCTATCTTGCCTGATAAATGGGAGCACCACTGTGGCCTTATTTAAGCTGTGCTCCAAGTGCACTCAGATTTTCCTGTGTGCACTCAGATGCTCCTGATGTGAGTAAATGAGATGGCAAGTATTTTACATGCCAGATATTCTTGGGACAGGATCCTCTGGTAGGTATTTTCATAGGTAGTTTCTAGGTTGAAAATGGGACTTTTGAGTATATGGTGAAGGATTGCTGATCTCCCCACTGTCTCTTCCAGCTTACCTACCTAGGTAGACTCATGTTCAACTTGAGGGTAAAGAGTACCAATTAGGACTGTCTTCTCTGGCTCAGTTGGGCCAGATAGCACCAAGCCTATGATATTTCATTCTGTTGGCAGAGGGTATGGCAGGTTCTATCCCTCTTTCATTTTTGTCTTATCTATTCTGGGTTCTTCTCCTTCATCTATTCTATACAAAGTGGGAAGAATGGAGAAATAGTCTACTCCATTTAATTAAATCAACATTTTCTTTTGCTATTACAAAAGTGTTCACATAATCAAATGGAAAGCTCTTAAAAGATAATTTTTTTAAAAAACAGCCAAACTACATTTAAAGCTATCATAGTTTTACTTCTTTTATTTCAAATGAAAAAGAGAGAATTTAATGTAAAGAGATGAGAATTAAAAGTAGGTTATAAGTAACTTTCTTATTAATCCCTGTGGCATTACCTTGAAATAATAGGTCTCCAGGTGTTCCCTATGCTGAGAACACAGGTCTCTGCTCCCTTTTACTTCTTGAAAAAACTTTAATTAAATTTTTAATTTTTATATTAATTACAGTTTATTCACCTTGGATCCCAGCTGTAGCCCCCTCCCTCATTCCCTCCCAATGCCACACTCACTCCTTCCCTCATCTCTTCCCATGCCTCTCCCCAAGATAGGGGAGATCCGCATCCCCTTCCCTAGCTTCCCTACAAGACCCTAGCTTACCAGGTCTTATCAGAACTAGCTTCATTGTCTTCCTCTGTGGCCTTGCAAGGCTGCTCCCACATCAGGGGGAGGTGGTCAAAATCTAGCCACTGAGTTCGTGTCAGAGACAGTCCCTGTTCCCCTTACTAGGGTATCAACTTGGATACTGAGCTACCATGGGCTACATCTGAGCAGGGGTTCTAGGTTATCTCCATGAATGGTTGGAGTATCAGTCTCAGAAAAGACCCCTGTGCCCAGATATTTTGGTTCTGTTGCTATGCTTGTAGAGCTCCTGTCCTTTCCAGGTCTTACTATCTCCCCCTTTTTTCCTAAATTTCCCTGCACTCTGCTCAAAGTTTGACTATGACTCTCAGTATCTGCTGTGTAGAGTCTTTCAGAGGCCCTCTGTGGTAGGCTCCTGTCCTGTTTCCTGTTTTCTCCTTCTTCCAATGTCCGTTTCATTTGCCTTTCTGAGTGAGGATTGATCACCTTCTCCAGGGTCCTCGTAGCTCAGCTTCTTTAGGTGTACAGATTGGTATAGGTTTATCCTATATTATATGTGTAGTATCCACTTATTAGTGAGTATATACCATGTGTGTCTTTCTGCTTCTGGGATACCTCACTCAGGATGATCTTTTCTAGGTCCCACCATTTGCCTGTAAATTTCATGATTTCCTTGTTTTTAATTGCTGAGTAGTATTTCATTGTGTAAATGTACCACAATTTCTGTATCTATTCCTTATCTGAGGAACATCTGGGTTGTTTCCAGGTTCTGGCTATTAAGAATAAAGCTGCTACAAACA